AGCTGGCTGCCAAAATACACAGCAAGACGACATCTGGACTGCCAATTATAATAAGTATAAGAACGAGGGGAAGTGTTGGGGTCAGCGTTTTCATGCGGGTAGAAGTAGAGTTTTCAGAGCGAACACCGAGATAAAACCTAGGTGAAGTGATTTTTGTAGACCTTCCAGCTTTTAGATATTTTACAGAAATGTATGAGCGCGCTGCTTATGCATGGCTGGAAGCATGGACTCAGAACTGGGGCATCGCTCACGGTACACTGAGCCAAGACTCCTGTCATGACTGCTTTACAATGTATAGCACTTAACTCCTTTTATAGTTTAAATTTAGACAACTGCAGTTCAAGTAATCTTTTAAATAATATTTTTTAAATTCATTTTTTTAAAGATTTCAGTCTATAAAGCAGGGTCTCCCACAGTGTATTATAAGCCTGGCGGGCCACCAGGCTTTACTTGTGCCCCAATCAGGCTAAGCATTACTGATTTATTTAAGTCTTTTTAAAGCATTTGCATTTTTTAAATACTTTATAGTTTATGTTCAGGCATTAATCTTCCAATCCTTTGATAACACATGATGATCATGTGATATTTTCAAATTTCATGTCAACTTGAAACATTTTTTTACTCAAAAACACGACGGGCTGCTGGATGAATGACTGCCCTAGAACCAACCACCGGGCTTAGCAAGTGTTCTGTATGAAAACAAAAGAAAAGAAAAGGAGATTTAATGCCATATCATGGAATATATCAAAAACTGGGATATGTATTGATAAAGGCTGGTGATACACCTCCACAATCTACTGACAGATATTGAACAATGAAGTGTCTTTTTTCCCCAATTAATTTGGAAGGAAGAATAATTCTTGTGTGCTGTGCAGCTTCTATAACACTGCAGCAGGAGATAATTGGCAGATTTTAAGAGCATAAAATGAAAAGCTGTAACCTGGTATGAAACATTAGAACCAGGGAAGCGTTTCTTCAAAGAATAACATTATAGATTTATGAATAATGGTAATTATGATCAAATTACTGAATGTCTGAAGATTGCAAGAGAAAGATCAATTATTCATGCAGTCATCTTTTCTAAACGGCCCCCTCTCTTTCAACAAGCCATCCGAGGCCTCTACTGTAAAGCAGGATTAATTGCTGGTTGAGCCGGGTTCAGTTCGGATTGTCGGCATCACTAATTCAATTCACTTGGTCTCTTGGTTGATAGGAACGATATGGCGGAGGAACTGCACATTAACCAATGGGATCTGATAATCACCTTGGTGACGCTTTGAAAAGTGTGAACTTCAATGCTAGAAGTTTAAGCCAGAAAATAATGTGTGTTGAAATTAATTCAAACTAACGATTATTTTAGTAATTGATTAATCAGATGAAAACAGTCTGCAGATTTTCCATTTAACCATTTGTGCCTTTTTAATGCAATACTAGAAATATATTAAAAATGCAAGTAAAATAAATCGATTCCTTTTTTAAATAAGAAAATATACATTTTATTGCCTAAAATGTAATAAGATGGCATTCCTTTAGTAAATCTGAACCAGGTGAAGCTAAATCTATGCCACTTGAGGAGTTTCGGCTAAAACATATTTACAGACAAAGATGTTTTTATCGTAAATGCAAAATTGTTCATATTTTTTGGACAGTTTTGGCTTAATTGCTGCTCTAACTATGTTGTTTTTTTGTTTTTTTTACCAGAAAAGTCTTTGTGTCTGAATACTACAGTTGACAATTAATTACTAACTTAGCTGATGATTATTTCAATAATTGATTAATCACAATTAATTACAATTATTTGATTAACTGTATTAAACATGATTAATCATATTAAACTGATTAATTGGATTGATCAAGATTAATCGTTTCAGACCCAATTCACTGTTCTGGCCTCTGGTGTTTCTGGTTAGCATTTAACTGCATTTGTATCAAATCTATAGCCACAATAAATTTTGAGATAGTGCTGGGTATAAACGACATCTCTGCTGTTACGTAAATGTTTGAATGTAATTTGTTTCAAAGTCTGGCATATGCAGTGCATTCACCTCAAGACCAGATAATACTTTAAAACTTTCTGATTTTGCCTAAATGGGACACATAAATATGCAATATATATATAGGCTTCTGTGTATTTGTTTTGTTAACAGAAAATGAATAATTTAATAAAGGATATATAACTAAGACAGGCCTTATCAGCTTCCAATCCTCGGCACCTCTTGGTTGTTCCAAGATCTAGTGATATAAAGGAATGTTAAATGGGGGGGAACAAGTTCATTATGGCCTTCAGATAAGATTCCAGGAAGGCCATGCACACAACTCTGAGCAGTCATGAGACCAAAGTGTGACAGCCCTCTAGCTTTCACACTTGTGCCCCCTGGGCAAAGCTCTGCAAAGCTGCATCCATATTTCTCTGTCGAACCACCTGCATATTTTAATAAGGCTGACCTCATGCACATCACTTCTTGAAATCAAACAAATACCTCGAAGGATTGGTCAAAAGGATAAAAAGATTCAAAATAGAGCCTGCAGTAGACATAACAGGGTCAGGGTATAACAACCTTGAGTGAAAACACAACAAAATCATAGTAAAAAACAACAATATACAAATAATTAATATAAAGTGATGACGAGTTTGATTCAACTGGAAGTAGCTTTAACAACTTATTGCAATAAATACATTTTATTTTTGCTGTTTTGCCATTTCCAGAGAAATAACTGCATCTAGCTGATATTAGCTGGATAATGAGGCTATGTTCATAGAGCAGGTCTTGATGCTCAATGGCGATTCTTTTGCTGAAATCCAATTTTGTTTTGTCCTCAAAGCGACCCGCATTCGCAGAAGACGTCACATAGCAACGCGTTGTTTACTGAAGTAACAATGGATGCCACCGTCTATGAACCGGATTTAAAGTTTATCCAGCAATGGGAGTCAACAGAATTGTCAAAAAATCCTAACAAGATGATAAAAAAAAAAAAAAAAAAAAAAAAAAAAAGCAAAACGAATAGAAATGACATTTTGTGGAGCATTAACTGGAACATCTGTAGAGATGTCTGCTTGGATGTGTAGTCGGAGATAAGAGTGGTTAGCGACTTTAACACATCGAAATAATATTCTGGATTTTTGCTAACATCTCACATTTTTTAATACAGGTAACTACAAAATAAAATGCAACAACACAGGCATTTGTAAAAAATTTTATTCAAGCAGCTATATGTATAGCTAGCAGCTATTCTCTCAAGACTTTTGAAGACACCATGCAAGAAAATGAAATCTGAGAAGAAGCTTTTACAGTGCAGAGTGAGGGGAATCAGACTGGTGCAGATAACAAGTTTGCATTTTATTCATAGAATCAACAAATCAACCATCTTTTAAACCCCAGTCTATTACCAGAGGAAACACTCACCAATCTTCTTCTGGGGGAATCCCTTACTGTTAGGTAATTAGAAAACAAATCCAAAAACCACAGTCACGACTTAACAGTACAAAAAAACAAACAGAACTGCAGCCAAAACAAGGTTTTGCAAGACCATTGCACACTAAAGCTCAGACTACTTAAGACTTAAACCACCCATATGGGATTGCAACTTGACAGAGAAAAAAAACAACAGTGTGATGATACGATTACAAATCACAATGACTTATTTGATGAGGCAGGATTACATCTAATTGTACCGTCAGAGCGTTCAGACCGCCGGTGGTAATCTCAGGCATATGACCACCACAAAGCAGGTACAGGCAATCTTAATACATAAAAATAGGCACAATAGAGGGCTTAAACTTGAACACATTTAAATGCATGGATCAGGGTTTTTTTTTTATTGGCTGACATCATCTTTTTAAGGTTTCATCAGTCTCTTAATAAACAAGTGCCACAGGTTGTTTAAAGGGGTACGAGTTTGGAAAATGTAAGATTTAGAGGCTTGTCACCATTAATAAATCAAAACTTTGGTCCTGAAGTATAGCAGTGTTTATCAGTCTTGTGAAATAATGTATAAATTTGCATGTTTTAAGAGGAAAATAAAACTGCGCATTTGGGCAATCCCACTAATCTCTATACTACTCTGTCATTACTACGATGATGGGCTTTAAATAGCAGCATCTTCTTAGTCAGGTTTAGGTCAAAGTGGCGGTAATTTGGCATAGTTTTTCCTCATTCCTCTGGGAGGAAAAAATTGGTATAAACAGGAAGTTGTCGGGGAAAGAGGAGGCTGTGTTTGTCACGGAGACAAAAGGGAAAACTGCTACAACCCAAACGGATATGTTGAAACAGGTCTTCAGCAGAAACCGCAGCAGGCCTTCCACGGTTCGCCCCATAAAACGCTACAGTAAACGAGCAGGAATGTGTGTATAAAGGCTTTAATTAAAAGTTCAAGATATTAAACGTATCACTGTTTCAGGAGCACTTAAATGTTCCCGACGGCGGCTGAATAAAAACCACTCAGTTCGAGGAGACTTGGCATCCGCTCAAGCTGGCATTGACTCGTTACTGGCAATGACAGCGTGTCTTGTCCGACATCCGAGACTGCTGGAAGAAATGTTGCTTTAACGAGTGCCAGCTGCTCTGAACTATACGGCTTTATACGAGAGGTGTCCCTCGGCCCATGTGGAGGACAAAAGCCGTTTCTGTTGCCTCGTAGAGGAGAGCTAACCCCCCAAAGCTACCTGGGCGGCTGAAGCTAGTTAGCTAGCGAGCTAGCTACTTAGCCAGCTAACATTTGGAGCGAGTGAGATCTGGGGGGTTTCCTCGTGAGACATTGGGAGACCTGGGTTTGTTACGTTTAGCTTAAGGTGTTTTAACACAAAACCAAGACTGTCAGCGAAAAAACTGCACCGGGAGTTCCGCCGGTTGTGTCCCTGACAGGCAGCATGCATAAGGGGGTAGGAGGAGGGGGGGTCCAACTTAAAAGCCCCGATGAGTCACGACAATCTCCTCGCGCCAATTTACCACAGCCGCTAAACCACACCGACACGGCGGACTAACTCAGACGGGCTCACGTACCATTCTCTTCACCGTTGAGACTCAGGAAGAGCTGTGTCGTGGCTTTTATCCATCTATCGGCGTTGCTCTCGGTTAGCCTTGGAATAAAAGCCCGCTGGACGCTGGAGAGATCCGCTTCGGCTGCAGCTCCAACGGAAGGTTGCTTTTTCATAATTGAGCGACTCCAGACTGACGCAGCGTAACGTGCCGGCTGAGTCAGCCAGCCCAGAGCTTCACGTGACCGGGCGGAGCCAGCCGCCACATGTGCGCTTTGTTTTAGTTCCTGCTCAACGCAAACAAGGAGGAAGATCTATTGTTGCCATCTCTGATCGTAAAATGCGGTGTTTATTGTAACTGTGCCCAACTGTAAACGATAGCATTTCAGACTTTATTTTTTGATGGATAAAAACACAATATGATATAGAGAGCATCAATAGCCAAATATCCAGATATGACACCAATATATTGTCTTTTTTATAAGCGTCTCGGGGGGCATTCGTAAATGACGACAAAGACTATCTCTAAAGATTAAGGAAAATAAATCATTAATTACTAGATGAACAATGTATCTTTTTATAGATTCGTCTGAGGTAAATAACCTTCAACTAATTTGAAACCGCACTGACTTAACTCTAATCAGGAACAATCTGATTGCTACTGTAAACATTGATGATCTGTTTTATATAATCAAAACATTGATGACAACGCAGGACAGAAAGCATACCTTTGCATATGTGGAAATACATAGTCTTTAATTTGTCTTTTAAATTTTTTTCACCCTTTGTACAATTTCACAACTATTACATATTTTGGAGTTTCACAACTTTTTACATCAGGACAGAAGTTTTTATTTATTAATTTATTTATTTCAAAATAGCTCAAGCTCAGAGTAAATTTGTAACACCTGCAAACTTCAAGTCCTTCCACAGATTATTTAGGGGGGTCCAAGTAAAGGGTGGTGAGACACGTGCCCACCATACTTTTCAGAATTATCTGCTACTTTTTGCCGGTCTATCATATAAAAGTCTAACAAAATGCAAACATGTGTGTGGCTGTAACATGACAAAATGCAATATCCACATTATGACACTACAAAATCCATTTGTTTATTCTGTGGCTCTGCAAAAATGTAAAAAAAAATTCTTTCCTCTTTAAAATGCCCAGCACACAAAACATATTTCAAAGATAATAAAATTTTAATGTTTAAAAAAAACCAAAAACACGCACACACAGGAGATTAAGTAGTTTCTTTATTATAAGGCAAAGGGAAAAAAAATCATATCTTACAAAAAAGATTATACAGAAAACCCAGTTATCAAACTTATATTATTCTGCAGGTAGATGTTATTTAAACCCCCCTCATTCTGTCAAGCCAGATTCTATAAAGTGCTTTCTAATTTCGTTTACCGCCGAGGCGAAGTCATCGCTGATTTCTGCTAGTAAACATAACAGACCTCTCAGGCACTACAAGACGTTTCAATTACTCCAACATCTCCTGTGGGCTGATCTGGTAGTTCCCAAGCTCCCGATCACATCAGTAAAAGTGATTCTAAGTTGTCAGAAAAGTCAGAATAGACAGTGTTCCCTTGCAATGCAAATGTGAAATAAAAACAAAAAAAAAAAACAAAAAAAACAACCATTGTAAAAAAAAGAAAAAAAAAGTGATTCCAGCAGTCGGAGCTCAGCAGCTTTCCCCTATGGACCGGTCAGTTCTTCCCTCTAAAATAAAAGGTAAAACAAAAAAATAAAAATTAACAAAGGGTGTTAATTTATTTAAAGTGTTCAATGGTCTCATACTGCTCAGTGCGAAAACTGTAGATCCAAAAGCAGGCAAGCAGAAAATCTTAGCATTACCTCCTAAACCATCCAAACTCCATGCAATAGCTCTCCAACGCTAACCGCAAGCAACAGCATGCAAAAAGGTCGAACGAATATCAACTCATTATTATCCCTGTTGATTGGAAAGGACGAATGAATGCGGGAGATGAGGAAGACGAGTAGCTGCACAACATAATGCAGAAACAAAGAGATGAAGTTAAAGAGCTGTTCCAGGGCCACAACTTTTATTTAAGCCGCATCAAATAAGTGTTGGCCTTTCATCTGAATTGTTTCTTTTTGTTGTTTTTTTGTCATGTGGAGACACCTGGTGGTCTGTTTGTGGAAAACACTTTGATGTTCCACATGGCAGTTTTCATTTGTTGGGATTTGCGTCTTAGCGAGACGCTGACCCTGGAAATCAGGAGATAGAAAAGGGGAGAGGGGGAAATAAAAGCTTGTGAGAGGTGATGAGTGGTAAGAAGCAACACTAATGAGAGGAAATAGGCAAAAGAAGGGATCTGGGTCGGAGAGAAGCACACCTGGCAGCAAAGGTTCCCTGGATGAATCCAAAACCTGCTGAAAATTAATCAAAGACAGAATCACATCTTGCTTCTGCTCCCCTCTCTCTCTCACACACACAGAAACACACAACCAAATGCTTAAAAATGTTCGCAAAAGAACAACAACATTGTTTATTGCAATTAGGCCCGACTAGTCCAATAACACATGTTGCTAGACGATAAATTGTCCCAGAAGTTATTGCCATGAACGATAAAATTGCTGTTTTGAGACCATTTTCAGGAAATATAGTAGTAATGACCTAATAATGCAAAAAAAAAACCACATTCATTTATAACAATAGATTGTTTTTTTTTATGTAGACGTCTGAAACTGATCTTTGAGGAAAAGTTTGTGGAAATCTAATTTTTATACCAAAACAGGCAACACGTATCACCTGAGCTGAGGAGAATAAACGGGAAAACTTCAGCAGTGGTGATGAAACAGCTCAAACAACAGACTCAAATTATTATTTTTACTGTTATCCTAATAATGCCACAGCAGTAAGCCAGAAGCTGTAGCTTCAGGAAACGGCTTGGAACACAAGTTTCCAACCCAAAATGGCCTCCCGTAAAATATCTGAAATACCTTTGCTAACAGAACTGTGTGAGGAGAAATTCTACCGTTTGTCTAAAAGCAAACAACGCAGTCTGCGAAGAGCTTGCAAGAGAACACGTCGTTATCATAGGTATGCAGCACCTTTTTAAAGGCAAACAGTAACACGACGCCAACCTGCAAATAGAAAGCTGCTTGCTTCAGGGAAATTTTTATGCAAAAGCTGCTTTGAAACTGAAGAACAGCTTCAATGTGTTAGGCAACGCCATCCTGTTTTGCAGCATTGAGCATATCGTGCTTTACAAAAGCATACATTTGAGCCGATTTACCAATTTTCCTCATGACAAGGAGAAACTTCAAGGGGATTTAGCGGGACTTGATGATAAGGACACAAAGCACTGGGTAATTTGTAAAGTGGAAGGAAAAACAAGACTTTGAAAGACGTTGCTCTGTTTTCATTTGGAAAAGAAATATTTGAAATTTAAAGGTGCAACGATTGCTTTTTTTTGTGGCTAATCATCTATTTTAATTTTGACCAATAAAAAAAAAAATGAAGAAAAAAAAGAGGGTAAAAATTGATTTTGTTGTTGTATATAGTCTGTAAAAAGAAATCGGATCAGGATAAAATTGGCGTAGTTAAAAAAAAAAAAAATCGGAAATAAAATCTTTGATCAGTACAAGTCTGAAGGTAGAGAAGAGCTAAATAAATAAATAAAAATCAGGGGAGCGCCGGTTGTAGTTTTCGGGCTGATCTTTAAAAAAAAAAACCTGACCTGCCGACTCTGATTTTGGTCAATACCAATTTTTTTTTTTTTTTTTGTCTGAAAAGTTCTTTTGTGACATTGTGGGCAGGGTCTGTGTCACGCTAGAGTAGAAGCAGAGATAGATGAGATCGGTTTCACATGTAAATATCAGCCAATCTCCCAAAATGACGGAAATCGGTGCAGCCCCTTCTCAAACAGTTAGCGTGTATTCATGTTCAGTCCCCTTGTGGTCAACATACTGAAGAATCACATTTTGCTTTAGGTGACTTATGTACGTTTTATTCAGGGTAGCAGAGTAAAGGAGAGCAAACACAGATATATTCCAGGTTTTTCAACTTTTAATTTTTAAATTAATTGGTAAGGCATGTATTATTATCTTTCCACCCTGCAACTATGCATCACTACTGGTGTGCTTGGTTGTTGTGGGACAAACTTCAAACCGAGCCATTCTGACTCTGCTCTTCACACGCCGCTTTTCTCACCTCGTATGTCGTTCCCGTCCAGAACTGCCTCATCTCCCCCCTGCAGCCCGCAACCACGGCGGAGGTTATCAAGGTGAAAGGCACCAGGTAGAGCAGGGCGGGCTGGCCCATCCCCGACAGAAGCATCACTGCAAAGGTCAGCACCAGTCCCAGGAGGTAGGCTGCCAGGAGCAAGCGGGATGGATATCAAGATACGAGCAAAACACAATATACGCATATAAAAATAAATAAGGAAAATTACCAAAAACGCAGCTGATGAAGTAGACATGCTTCCTGCTGTTGACCCAAATGTCAAACCTGCTGCAATAGGCCACCAGGAGGCCTGTTGGGTAAAGGACAATCCAAGAGCAAAGTGATGAGCAGTCGCTGATCAGTACTTTTAAAATGTCGACCTCAACAGGCGTTGAATCTCACCTGGGACAATGATATCTCCGTAACCGAGGATGGAGAACTGCAGCCCACACAGGTTCTGAGTCCAAGCTGAGAACCGCGGGACGCGCATCACCACGGGTATCTGCACATGTGGAGAGTCTTTTTTTAATGGCAGAGCAGTCGCTGGAGCAGGGCTAAATACAGCGGCTAATGCTTTATGAACGCAACGTCTGTAATGCTGCGGTGTTTGAAATCAGAGTCTGCAAAAGCAGTGGCGCCCCAAGGGGGAAACATCTGGGGCTGGAAGGAGGCACCCTAAAAGTTTTAATGGCCTGGTCCCCCACATGAAAATTTTCTTGGGGCGCCACTACTTCACTATGCTTTGTTCTTTGCCTTCAACTCAGTAACTTTGTGTAAATTTAGTCTTGTTGTGCTGATAGAGAAAACACAACAGTTCATTTGGACTGCCCTAGAAGAACAGAAAGAAAAACAATGCACAAAGTAAAGGTCCACTCCCATATTTTTAAGTTGCCAATCCTGCTAGAGACATAAAAAGGTTCCTTCCTCCACCTTTCCCCCAGGATGAAGCATAACAAATGAAAAAAAAAAAAGGTAGTGGATGGGTAACAAGTCAAGTCTTACTTTCTCAGAAGGAGGCTGGGGTTCAGCTGGGATCTCCACCATGTTACCTTGTGTCTAAGACAGAGCCCACCCAACCCCAGCGCACAGTTAGTAGATCAGTCTACAGTTCCCCTCAGGGCATTCACAGCAGCCTGGATGCTAATAAAGCTGCTAACAGTTTGAAAGAGAATATCACCAAGCTTAGCTTAGCTTGTAGCTTACGAGTGCCCCCCCACCCCACCCTTAACCTCCCCAAGATGAAAACACCTGCACATGCGTTAATAATGCTTTACACTGACAGGAAGGACGGTTTGCCTTATTAGGTAACAGACAAAAACTGAAAAATAGCATTTAAAAAAAGATACATGTGCATCTCAATCAGTTAAAATATCAATACAAAGTTTTATCCAAAAAGTGAAATATAAGGCAGCATTTTTCCCCTTGTACTTGTCCACCTTTCTCCTTCCACTCAACTTTCCGTGTACAAAGTACTCATTGTACAGCTGACTCTTTGTCAATGGCCTGTTTTGGCTTCTGGAGAATGGTAATGACACAAGTCATTAGGCCGTGACTGCACAGAACAGACGATAACGTGACCAAAAAGGTAAATAAACATAAACGGTAAAATGGACACTGTTGTTAGTAATGAAGGTATATAGTAGGATTTTCCTGTTTTTAATTGAATTTTTAAAAATTCATTAATATTTTGATGACAATCTGGTTTACCGAGATGCACATGTACTTTTGCACACTGCAAAGCCAGACCACATTTTCCAGTAAGTTAAACAGAGGCTTTAATAAATTACAGAGCCAAAACTGGTCACATTTTAAAGAACATTTGAAAGATGACACAGAAATAGCTGGAGTGACTGGAGTTTTGTCCTGATAAATGAATTGAAAATTGAGCAACACACTCCCTGGCCCCTCTTATTGTAGATACCATGAATTATTACGGTAATTATATAGTAATTTTCCCTCATTAAAAAAAATCCTACAGAAGTTTAAGTGAAGTTTGTAAACAGAAAATATATTTTTACAACAATATTGATCATTCCTGATAAAGTAATGCCATTTCCATGTCTGTGGAGCTTTTTTGTGCCTGTCCTTTAGTTTGCAGCGGTTCAGTCTTGACATTTAACACATTTCTGAAGAATTAACATTCAGTTTCCTGTTCCTAAATAGGGGTACAATAGTTATTTGCCTCAGAACGTTACAAAACTGCATGATTAGGTTTGGGAAACGGTTTCGCCTTCAACGACCTTTTCCAACACCACATAATAGGAAGTTTCTGACCGAAACTCTTTGTCTAACGCTCACTCGCTTCCCTACATAAGAATTTGACTCAGATCACCATATTTGGGCACGCAAATATGATTTTCAAAAACAAAAAGATTATTTGTGATGATTTTAGCAATTTATCTTCACAGTTTCTATATGAAATTATAAATATAAAACTGTTGGAGAAATTACCTTCTCTCCAGACGCGTCGGGGCCGAGAGCGACCTGCACCATGATGCTGACTCCATTCTGGTCAAGAGCAAAAAGAGTGGAAGTTAATTACAAGCAAATTACAATACAGAAAAACAGCTTATTTATACAAACCTTTGTGAAGAAAGGAGTTATGAACACAAAGAAGACGTCATACAGCAGGAGGAGACTCAGCAGGATCACACAGATCTGTCAGAAATAAGACAAGTTAATATAAAAAAGCTGATTCTAGATCAGAGAAATCCTACAGATAATCCTAAACTGCTAGGTAATTATTTCAAATAAAGCAAATCAAAAATTATATCCTGGCCAATTCTACAAGTTTAAAATGGAAAACATAAACAGCCTAAAAGAAAATACTAGGTGAATTCTCCCCCAGAGCAAACACAATAAAATGAAACACAATATAAACGAATAAAATGCTGAGGCTACAGCCGTGTAGGTGTGTATGTATGTGTGTACCTTGAAATTGGACAGTGTGATGGTCTTCATGAAGTTGAGGCAAAAAGCAATGCCAAGCAAGTTCTGCAGGATCCAGATCCATCTGTGAGGACAAAACAGCTTTTTAACCAGATATGAGAAATCGACCACTGACAGGAACCGGACGGTTTTATAATTGGAGATCGGCTGATCAGAAACTAAAAACTAAAACTAAAAGTTACCCAGTCAGCGTCAAAAATATAAACCAGGTCTTCAAATTCACATGAACTAATGAGGATGATGAAGTGTGTGTTGCTCTGTGAGAAGCCAACAATTTGGGCGTTTCCAACTCAATTCTGCTTCACTTCAAATCAGACGCCTGCTTTAATATCAGAGAGAAATGGAACCAAAACAGAACAGAGGGTGCGTGTGTGTGTGCGCGTGTGTGTGACATGACAGTACCTGTCTTCATTTCTGTACACTCCCCAGATCACAGCGACAGTAATGCACACAGAAGCCAGCAGGATGGACCTCACTGACAAGTTCTTGTTGTACACAGAAAAGCTGAGAAAAAACACACACATACACACACACCAATGATTCAGGGTGCATTAAACAGCTGAAGCTGCTGGAAACACAGAAATAACACACACACCGCTCACAGGGCTCTCTGTGTGACACACTCTTGGTGTGAACACACGGTCTGGGTTGTTTGTTTGGAGTAATGGTGACTGAATAACTGCATAAATGAGGAGATGGGAATATTTCCTAATGGTAACTCATCTACGAAATGTTCGATTTCAAAATATTATTTCTAGGGCTGAAACTAAAGATTATTTTAGGAATCGATTATTCAGATGATTAATCTGATTAAAAAATTGCCACATTCTTCAGATTTTTCATTAAACCACTTTTTTATTTTTTATACAAAATTAAAAATACATTAAAAGGTGCAAATAAAGAATGAGAAAATAAACATTCCGCAGCATTAAATGCAATAACGTAGCATTCATTTAGTATACACTTGATCATTTGCATTAATCGATTAATAAATGGATAGCAAAAAGGTCCTCAAACCAACATTTTGTTCTTTACAGAATTTGAACCAGGTAATGTAAAAACTAAATCTAACTTTAAAAAAAACATCTAAAATGTACATATATTTTGTACAGTTTTGGCCTAATTCCTGCTCTGAGTGTGTTGTTCTTTCAACAGATGACCTTCTTTTGAGTCTGTATCCTCCAGCTAGTGATAAATCGATTCCTAGATTATCCGATTATTTCAATAAGCGATTAATCTGATTAATCTTTTCAACCCCAATTATTTCCAGCTTTTTTACATTTTTGTGAAGAAAAAAATAATCCACTTTGCACATCTTTCCAAGTGCATTTTATAATACCGGAAGAAGTGAGGCTCATACCTTAAAGTGCCACAACGGATTAAGTCTAGCACTGCATCCAGGCAGCTGAACAGTGCTGAGGCAGTGGCGAAACAGAAGATGGCGATAATGATGTAAACTGTGAAAGGAAAAACGGAAAAAGAAAACAAAATGCGCCAGTTAAAAAACATAAAATAAACTCCTTGTATGATTATTCCAATCCCAACAAGTGATTGGCTTATTCTGTTCCGCTCACCGAGGACTTTGTAGAAGAAGTACATGAGCACCAGCATCCCGCACATCACAATGACGAAGATGATGATGTTGAGGGGGGAGTAGAGCACTCTGCTGCTGTCCGTTTTGTGTTCTTCTGCTCCTCCTCCGGCAGCGAAGCTCTTCAGTCGTTCGCTGGTGTGAAAAAGGGGAAATGTGTTTGAGCAAAAATCTAAAATGGCTGAGTAATTTAACAGCAGTTTTCGTGTATCGTATTTTCCGCACTATAAAGGCGCACCTAAAAACCTTCAATTTCCTCAAAAGCTGACAGTGCGCCTTATAATCTGATGCGCCTTATATATGGACCAATATTGAGCCACAACAGGTCTAGCAACTACGGTAAGCAGCCGCCGACTTCATTTTCGTAGAAGAAGAAGTGCGCGGTGCATGCTGGGATAGTTGTCGGAACGCTGGTTTGTTAATAAAGTTTGACTGACCTATCTACCTACCGACTGTCTATAATCAGGTCGTCTGCAGATCATTTAGCACCACGTTCTCCATGAACATGCTGTGCGCAAACGGAGAAGGGTGACCATCATCCGGCCCGGTCACGGAAGGCTCTCCTCGCCTACCGGAGTCGGACTGTTTTATTGACATTCCGTTTAGTGCAGCTCCATCTAGTGGATGCATAACGTAACTCCAGCCTCTACTGTAGCGTCTATTCTATGCTACAATAGAGCATAGAATAGGTGTGCCTTATGCATGAAAAAAGTTTTAAAATAGGCCATTCATTGAAGGTGCACCTTATAATTCAGTGCGCCTTATAGTGCGGAAAATATGGTAATTACACAAAATAGCTGTCATGCTCCTAATAGATTAACACCAGTAGTGTGACAAGCTGGTTAGTTAGTCAGGCTGTCTCGTCAGGTAGCCAGATTCAGTCTGAAACTTTCAAACTGTTACTTTAAAGCAGAAACCCCAACAAGTGTTGATACTAGTTTCCTACTTCCGTTTATATCGCTACGTAAACTAACCATTCCTGGAATATGCTCCTATAACTAACAACATTTATCGTATCGTTTGTAACTTATTGTGAACATTTTCTCAAGAATTTTGATTTATTGTTTTGTTGGTATGTCACAATAAACAATGTTAAACAAAACTGACATTTTTCATCAGAAATGTTAATTTATCAATTTTTTCTGATGTTTGATCCACGGGTGAATAAATAAATGTTGGTAAATTCGACAATTTGAATAAATGCCATTGCTGTATGCAGTTTACTGATATAATAATAATGTTATGACAAAAGTAAAATGTTTAGCTGCACAGCGAAATAAAGCTTTCGCTCACACCGCCCCTATGAAACTTCAAGCTCTCTGAAGTACCAACTCTCACCGTTCACACGCTCCACTCCATAAGCCGCCCAAAGCCACCGTTGCTATAGCGATCAGCAGTAGGACGACGATGTTCAGATCAATCTTAGAGTACTGCGGCGCGTACAGCTTCACTTCCATTCCTTCGCCGAACACCTGGAGGAAAAACAAGAGGTTAACAGTTCTGATGGCTGACACCAGGTAAGATCAGGGCTGCAGCTAACGATTAATCTATTTAATCTATCAATTATTCTGACAATTAATCAATTAATCGGATTAAAAAGTGGCAGATTTTTCATTTAAACCCTTTTTTTTTTTACATTATATTCAATTAGATTACATTAAAAGATGCAAGTTAATTCCTTTTACAAATAAGAAGATAAACATTTTACAGTCTAAAATGCAATAACATATCAGGGGTTTTGAGTAGAACATAATGACGGACAAAGTTTTTTCATCTTAAATGCAAAATGTTTATGTTGTTTGTACAATTTTGACATTTTTCAGCAAATGGCCTTCATACTCCACTTCACGATTAATCGATCACTAAATTAGCCAACAATTATTTCAATAATCAATTAATCTCAGTTAATTGTTTCCGACACAGATAAGATTGAAGTCTTTTTGGTAAAACTAGTGCCATTTCTATACGCAATACTGTAACTTACATAATATGACTACATTTTAAATTTGCTCTTGGAGGAGATGAAATCCGATCCAATAAAATGCAGAGACAGAAAGCAACCCCCACTTACACGCTTGGCCGACAGGAAGTCCCTGTATCTCATGAGAGCCAGAGGAATGAGGACCTTTGGATACTCTGACTCGTTGGCTGATGGAGTGACCTGAGGAGCAGAGTTGGCAACCACACCAAATAAACTTGTGTAGCCTGGAACAAGAAAAGTCTACAAGGTTCAGTAAAGATAATCTGTTTAGCTCAGAAACAAGAGTACAATCATAGAAACAGTCATTAAACAGTCATTCCTTATTGCTGTATGGATATCTGTATGTTTGTTTGCTTTCCCAAAAATGATTTGCCTGACAACTACAGTTCTGGTTACGCCTCTTACGGAAAAAAGCTTTTAACAAGTTTCCATAACTTTGCCTGAGCTTTAACAAATTAAAAGAATTTTTGTGAAAAAGTCAGAAAATACAGAAAATTAATGCCGAATATAGAATTTTATACAAGAGAACATTTCACTTCCTGTGGTTTTCTTTTAGTCATTTCAATACAAAAGGAGAAACAAGTTCTTGATTTAGCCAAAGTTGGAAGCAAAACCTGTAAAACTGATTTAGTCTTTCTATACTTTTTCAAGAAACTGAGATTTTTTTTATCTCATAGAAAAAAAAAAAACAATATTGAGTATTTAACAACTAAAATTAAACAGTAAAAAAAGGCATGTATTTTATCTTTTTCCCCCCCCCAACCAAAAATTCAATTTCATCTAAATGTCTTACCAGTGTTGTGTTGCTCGCAATAAGCAGCGCCTTAGCACCAAGTTTTTGGGCTATGATGGCCTTCTGACTGAATCCGCATTCTCCCCTCATCACCACCAGAGCTTTGCCCTGTACCACCTCTGGTCGGACTCCCGAGTCGTCACACAGCACAGTGGACGTCAGATTCACCAGCTTGTATGTCGTCTGATAAAAAAAAAAAAAAAATTAAATTAAATAAACAATGAGCAGGTAGTGTAAGGAGACAAGCAAGGCCAGAGTTTCCTGAAGTGAAGATAACTGATAACTTACAGCTTTATCGAGCGTTTCTTCAAGAGGAGTCCAGGAGTGATTGAAGACGAGGCAGTAGTCCCGAACTAAACTTCCATTTGAGATGTGCAAAACAGCCTCTTGGCAATTTACCTGTAGGTGAAGAAATACAATGGATATTTTAAACCTAATTCCACTTTTTTAAATAAATTTTTAATAAAATTAATCGCGCCAACATGACTAAATGGAGACCCCGGATAACAATATTTAAGCATCCTACAAGTTAATCTTTATTTTAGTCAGTGGTTGGAGTGGAGAAAGCAAGTTATTTACATGGTTGAAACGATTAATCGGATTAATCAAATATTGAAATAATCGTCAACTGATTTAGAAATCAACTAATTGTTAACTGGAGTATACAGACTGAAAAAAAATAATTTGCTGGAGAAAAAAAAACATATTCAGAGTCACAAAAGATCTGTACATTTTACATTCAACATAAAAACCTTTGTCAGTAAACATGTTTTAGCTAAAACTCCACAAGTGGCACACTTTTAGCTTCATCCGGATCAAATTCGCCAATTTATTGCATGTTACGCAATAAAATGTTTATTTTCTTATTAAAAAAAGGAATGAAATTATGTATTTATTTGCATCTTTTAGTGTACCGTATTTCTAACATTAAAAAAAGGCTTAAGTGCTTAAATGAAAAACCTGGAGAGTGTGCCATTTTTTAAAAATCCGATTAATCACCAGAATAATCGATGAAGTATTTGATTGTTAAGTTTTCTTTATTATTATTAAATCGTTATTGAACCAGATAAATCCCACTGAGACCAAGACCTCTTTCACAAGGATGACCCGGCCAAGAAGGGCAGCAGCACACGTCATGACAGATGAGACAAGTAAACAGAAAGAACAAAAATAGATATTAGAAACATCTAAACAACAGTTTGACACTGAAGGACACTCAGTTGTGACAATACTAATTTATAAAACAGTGGCAATTCAAGAAAACTGAGGGTATTCATTCTTGGATAATTACAAGACCAATGAGGATTTTTTTAAACCAGCATTTTATTTTTAGAGTAAAACATTTTCAGACCAATTAATGAGTCATTGCACAATTAGTGTTTTATGATTTTTGGATTCTGGATTCTTAATTAATGTGATTTAAAGAGGGTCAAAAGTGCTGCAATTAAAAAACAAACATGTTTTCATATTTACACTCATAAATAGCTTTTAAGAGTAACTGTGGTTGTTTGTCCATTGTGCACCCTGCATCTTACCTGTTCACCAGTGGATAGATGAAATATTTCTGTATGATTTTATCTTGCAGTTCACTCATGTAGACATATTATATAAATTCACACGCAGTTTTTTTCTATGACAAATACAGATTTATAATATAGTTATATTTTGACATTATACATTACCTTAAGTGCTAGAGTATGAATTACACAGTTTATTATTTTAAAGTTAATTTTAATATTTATCGGAATATTTAAATATCTATGCACAAATGTATAATTTTTTACGTATTTACAATGTTCCAAATGATCATATATATAAATATTTATTTTCAATGTTAAGTGATAAGTAAATATTTTTATAATGACTTATTTACTTGGCATGTGGCGCCTTCAGTTGTCTTCAGTACTCGTTTTTTTTTTCTTTTTTCTTTTCCTGATTTACCTTTAATCGGGACTAATGCCGTAAATAAAAACTTTGTTGCTATAGAGAAGTGGAGATTGGGAAAATCTCTCTACCTGAAACACAACTTAAACTAATGTTTAGACTGGCTAAATTGGTTTAAAAGGCCGTAAAACTTATTTATAACTATATGTAGTTGTATATTTTTATGCACAAATATATATTAGACCTATTAACGTGTCCGTGGAAAAGGAACGTGTTCAGTAGAAATACAAACAGTTTTCGGTGTTGTTTCTATGAGGCTGACTCAAAAACCAGAAAGCTAACACTAGTTAGCATTATTAGCTTCGCCTCTGCTCTCCGCATTCTGTCCGTTTTAAACCACAGCTCGGCTAAAACACACATCGGCGCCTTGTAACGACAAAACACGCAGGCTGGTGGCTCTCGGCGCTCCGTGTGTCACTGTGTTTTCGACAACAACATAGCTCTTTAAGCTCGACAGAAGCTAGTCTCTTTTAAACCTACCTGCGATATTAGAGAAATGACAGACAGAAGAGCGACGCCGAGCGCTCCTTTCGCCTCCATCTTCGTCTTTCCACGGACTTTGTTTTAATCTTGAATGTCAATTGCTCCCTGTGCGGTACAAGACCATTTTTGTTCGGCTGGAAGAGTTCGTATCGTGACGGTTGTTGTTTTCGCCGCTAATAGCTGCCCGGGCACTTCCTGTATTGGTTTGTGTCATGTGAGACACAAGCGGAGCCTTTTTAGTTTCTGTTCCTCTCACACAAGCGTTTTGGGCCTACTCGGAAATAAAAGTCCCTTCTAGTCGACGGGGAATTCCTGTCTCCTTCGAGCTTATGCGAAAGTATTCATACCCTTTAAACTTTTTACAAGTTTTTATCCTGCTACATCGAGCATTTTGGTGGTCAAGTTTATACAGGAATATAGGTATATAGGTTCCCATTCTAATATATATATATTAGAATGGGAATTAAATCAGATTAATGAACGAACTGTGACTAACTGAAACTGGAATGCTGAACATTTAACTTCAAAACTAATTACCTAATTAAGAAAACAAAGGAAATTTTAATTTTTCAGAACCACAAATGAATCACACAAGTGTTGTAAAACAGATTAACCCTGACATTTGGCGAGGATCAAGACCTCAGCTAAACGTGAAGGTCGGGAGAGGTCGGGTCACTGTCCAGGTTCAGACCTGCCCACCACTTTTTAACAGTAGGTCGTAAAACTCAGCGAAGGGTGAAAATGGGGTAGTCTTCAAGTTAGACCAAGAAATGTGGCATTTGGGCAAGATACGACTAGGGAAAGAGGGGAAAGTGAATATTGGAAAATGAAAACTAGCAGCTCTGAATTGTTCTGGAACCAGACTATCTCTTTCACGTAGCAGACTTATGCCAACAGGGTTGTTATGAACAAGCATGGGATCATTAGGTCCTTCTCAGAAATCAAAATAACAGAAAATAGTCAGAGATTTGATTTGATTTACCTTAAGAGGTGGAAGCTGGAAAGCCCAGAAACTGGTTCAAATAAATGCTTCCTCATGTATGCAAATGGCCCAGTCAAAGTCCAAACCTAGATCCAACAAAAAAA